TTAAACGCGTCATGATCGTTTAAAACGTGATGATTTTACGAATGAACTTCCGCGAAATAGAAATTAGTTTTCAAATTGTTTATCCAGCGTTAGATAAAATAGGTAAAAATGATTTAAGTAAAAATGAGATTTTTTTATATTTTGAATATGAGGGAATTGAAGGAAATTCCGGAACATAAACAGTTTTTACGTTATAGAAAAAGTGTTATAATTGAGCACCTACATATGTTAAAACTTGCAAAGGTTCTAATAAAAAATTGAAAATATTCTCTCTTAGGAGCAAGAAGGTGATAATGTCAGAGTGATAATATCTGTGAAAAACTCGTAAAGTTTTCGCCGGAAATTATTCCAGCGTTTCAAAACCAAATTTCCACACCTTCTGACAATGTCGCGGACTTGATTTTTCGTGAATTTTCCTCGACGGTGCATCCGGAAACACAATGGCCGAATTACGAGCCGTATGCATCGCCCTACGCGGAAAGGGGGAGAATTACGGCCCAATGAAAGTATAAAATGTCGCTCGTTAACGGAGCCAATGCCAGAAATCGCTGAAACTTGCCGGCAATAAAAGGTAACGAGTATTCGCGGGCTGTAAACATCCGTGGAACGCTACTCCGGAACATTTCATAATCCTGTTACGAGGCACTTTGACTTTCGTGGCCAGCTGCGGTATGTGTATTGTGTACGCGTGTATGTGTGATTGCGCGCGCGGGGGATTGGAAATAAAATTCTGCTATCGAGGTGCAAGTAACGGCGCGGCGTTGCCGTGCCATGTAAGATTGTTGCATCGTGAGAAAATATAAAGGAGAAGAGAATATTGTCGATGATCCTGTGCATGGAGCTACGATTAAGATTCCTCTGTTGCGTTAGACGGTCTTCTCACTCGTGACACACTTGACTCCAGGCTGAGTTATGAGACCAACAAAAATAGCATGCTATCGATCGGTTTTATCGTGTCGGAATGGTATCTATATTATATCTAACAGTCTCTGATTGCGTACGATTCTTATCGGTCTCTTACGGATACGGTTTATTACGGATTCTCAACGGGAACGTCTTAATATCTGTGATAAATTACGTATCTCGTATCTTAAAACGCATTTTCATTCACGTTTCAAATCAAATTCGTACTCGCAATAACGAACGATGGTTTTCCTTACTAGATATCAAAGGAACACTGGTAATCCTCGAGTTATCTAAATAATATTTTGTTATTTTTCACTTCCATTCGTGTCAAAATGTTTAAGGAACACACTAAGTCACGAGAAAGTCAAAATGACTTTATTTTGACGTCATAAAAATGATAACTTTTTATTACAAAATTTGACTGTTTATTGAAGACTGTTAAGAATCAAAATAAATTAGTTTGAATTTTTTGTAGTCCTTGGATGTAAATCAATCTATTTCTGTGATTAGTTTCATAGATAAACATCGTCTGTAAATGTATGCATTTAGTAAATTTAGGTCTAATTGAATACATTTTCTTGAATCAAACTGTTTAACTCCATTGTTTTAGTCAAATTAAATAAGAGTTGCAATGGCAATCTATAGATATGTTTAAAAATGACTTGAGTATAATTTGGCATTATGAATTTAACAGTGTTTGACATCCCAATTAAAAAAAAAAGAATTGATTCTGAATTGGTCATTGAATGCATAAATGTAAGATTCACGATGTTCTATGTATACAACAAAATTAGTAGTTGTCAAAACAAAGGTATTTTAATCTTTCAGTAATTAACTTTCGTTATCGTTGAGCCGGAAAATGCTAGTGCAGGCCAAAGTTTTTCTTTAGCCTGCAAATTTCTGTCGGCAAGACAAGCGGTCCACGATGCGCCGTGAATATATGAGCTCAGCTGTCTCTTTTTCGAGGTAACACGATATCTTGGAGGAACCTAATGTCGAGCAAGCGGAGGTAACACCGGCCGAACGACGGTCCGAGTGGGCCTTTCATGTAATGGACGGCTCAAATATTTATCATCGGCCGCGTAATTTAAGGTGCGTTTAGCAAACGGAAGACGACGCGAGGAAAAACAAACAGGACAGGGGTGGTGTGGTATAGCCGGTGAGAAGGAGAGAATGGAGCGGCGGTGAACGAGGAGGAGGAGGAGGAGGAGGAGGAGGAGGAGGAGG